GAGCAGAGCCTGGCTCCTTCCTCCTGACACTCGCCCTTTCCCAATGGATCCCCAGGAATGAGGGCACCCCTCAGGCTCCTCTGCTCCAAGCTCAAGAGCCCCAGCTCCCTCAGCCGCTCCTCAGCAGGAGATGCTCCACTCCCTCCATCATCTTTGTGGCCCTGCTGGACTCTTTCAAGCAGTTCCTGTTGTTCTTGAGCTGAGGGCCCAGATGCTCCAAGAGAGCAGGCACTGAAGAGCTTTTAAATTCTTATGAGTTCAAACCAGCAAAACCTGCAGTGCATCCCAGTATTTTACCCTATTTACTATTTTACTGGCCTGTATTTCACAGCTAAGTGCACCAGATGTGACGGGAAGGCCCACCTGACAGATGAATGTTGTGCCTAGGTTTTGCGCTTGATGCTGTCACATTTTCCATAGGCACGTGGGACAATTGGTGCTCTGGACAAGTCAGGCAGATGCTGTACCATTCTGCAGTGGAGAATCAGGGGCAGTTTGGGACATTCAGGAAGAAGGAAAGCACCCCAGGCCACCTCTCCACGTGCACCCACATCCTCACCTATCTCGGCCATGGCACTTGGGGTGTCCCTTAATTTAGGGTTAGCCTAAATCACAGAATCACAGAATCACTCGGTTGGAAAAGCCCTCTGAGATCATAATGTCCAACCGCTCCTGTCTACCCACTAAACCATATCCCTAAGTACCTCGCCTACCCGCTCCTTAAACACATCCAGGGATGGTGACTCCACCACCTCCCTGGGCAGCCTGTGCCAGCTTCTGACGACCCTCTCAGTAAAGAACTTCCTCCTTCTCTCCCACCTGAACCTCCCTTGGCACAGCTTGGTGCCGTTTCCCCTTGTTCTATCCCCCATCACCTGGGAGAAGAGACCAGCACCCACCTCTCTCCAAGCTCCCTTGAGGCAGTTGGAGGTGGTGATGAGGTCTCCCCTCAGCCTTCTCTTCTCCAGGCTAAACAAGCCCAGTTCCCTCAGCCGCTCCTCATAAGGCTTGTTCTCCAGATGCCTTCCCACGAGGTGTCCCTGCTCATGGGGTATATGAAATGAGTTATCACAGGATTTATGAATTCTGTCAGTGAAATGATTTTGGGGGCACAGCCCTTCATTTCTTCCTCCTCCGCTTCCACAGAAAAAGGATGAACACAGATTTGAGAAGCAGGGTAAGTTTGAATGGCTTCATTTACAAACTGGGCTGAAGGAAGTGTAGTCCAGGTTTTAAACTGTTTTCTTGGACTCTAGAAGTAGATTCCTAGAAAATTTCATAAGTTTTATTTAATAGAAAATTCATTTCAATTTAATAGTGGTGGTTGTTCCCCAAGGCACAGGTCAGAGCACCAACACCCATCTGTCCTTACTGCAGGCTCAGACTCTGCAACAATCTAGAAAACCTGACCAAGTGAAATGATTTCTTCAAGCAGAGCACAGTTCACTTCCTGGAGAAGAACCAGAAGCCTACACATGCTTTTTGTTACCTACATTTTCCTTCCTATAAGCAGCTGGCCTCTCAGTTCACGTGCAGTGAAGATCACAGAGCACCCCAAAACCATGAATGAAATGAGTTTTCCTTCTGCCTAGCACTTCCTCTAAGCTCAACCACCACCAACCAACCTGCTTGGCTTTGAGACAGCCCTGACCAACTCCAATAACATAATACCAAAATAATTCAGAAAATTCAGGACAAATCTTGTCCAAGTTGATACAGAGGTGCACAGGAGGCGGCTGCACACCCCATTCTCAGCAGACCACCAGCCCATGCTGAAGCTGCAGGGCTGTTTCACTGGTGCAGTTGTACTTGCAGAGCAGAAGCAAGCTCGTGCTGCACAGTGGATGTGGTGGTTTTGGTTACCTTCACAGAAACCGAGTGCCTTTTGGAGCTATTTCAGTGGATTTAATGGAAAACCTCCGCACACTGGAGTCTGTGGCACTTCTGGCTGGCTCTTTTACCTCACAAAATCCTTTAATATATTAAAAAATACATCTCAAATACAAAGATCTGCAATTCTTTCAATACTGATTATTTTATTAAAAGAATAGCTTAGGATAGAGTAAGAAAAAAAAATCACAGCAAAATCGAATTTGGAATAATTAAGAATCTCAAGCAATCTCTCTGCTGGTCATCGTGCGACACAGGAAGGATGTACCCATCTCCCACACTGTAACTCTGTGCTCCTCCAGAGCATCGCATTTAGCAGCAAAGATCAAGAAGGAAATGCACTTCCTACCACTGTTTTATTGCCGTCTCATCTTGCTGACAGCGCAGCTTTTAGCCTGCTCAGGTTACCTCTAAGCTCGGCAGAGACCAACCCAGCCCCTCGTGCCCTCCCCAATTACTGGATATCCACATGGATCCTCTTGATTTCAGAAAGGTTAAATTAACAAAGCATCAATTAGGCTATTAAAAAAAAATAAATATTCTTACGCAGGAAACCTACAATTAAGATATTCATAATCATTTACTTGTAATATTATCTGCATGACTCACAGTGCCTCCATTTTTGATTTAAAAAGACCCAAACCTCCCAGAACACAATGGGGCGGGGGTGTCCGAGGCCTTCAGACACCGAGCTGGCTCTGACTTCAAAGGATGAATCACCAAAATCTGGTTGGTATCAGGAGAATTGGCCCGGAGCATAACTGAGGTGAATCAGCCTTTCCCTGGAGGGGTCTCTGTCTCCTGGCTACGGGAAAAGAACACAGCTTGGCTGCGAGCAAGCTTTTTGCATTATATAAATCGAGCAAAATACATTTATAAAGCAAAGGTTTTCTGAAATAACCCCTCGCAATTCTAGCTTATGTATTTCAGTGAGGGCAGAGACAACATTTGCACTATTTTCTCTTTGTCCTTTCAATGTTGTGAAGACAAAATCTGTGAGCCTCACCCCTAAACGGTTGTTATTCTGGGCTGTATCGCTGTCCCAAAGTTACACAGCTCTCCATAAGGGCAGGGCAAGCCTGGAGAATTCTGAATGCAATCAAAACCAAATAGATTCGATACAGACATCAGAATCTGGAAACAATAAAAAGTGTGGGTATAGTCACACGGGACCGACTGCCAAAATAAAGCAACCGTCTATAAATTACTCATATTGCTGGGGTACCTCAGGGTGTTTCAGCCCCAAGTTCTTGGCTGTTGTACAAACAACTGTCCTATTTTATACCAGCTCTAACAGGATGACAAGCAACATTTCTGATGGAGCCTTGCAGCTGATGTTTCAAAAGAGCATCCTATTTTCAAGCACCACGGATGGATCAGAGGGCTCCTCATTTGTTTTTAATTACGTGGCTTGTTCAGAGGTGAATCTCCTGCTGTATTTATCTCACGCCACAGTTGGAGCAACAGCTCTGCTGTCAGGCTGGAGGTTGATGAGGGAATTGCTGGCTTGGGCCAGCTCCGCGATGGAGACGCGTCCTCTCTGTTTGATGTACTGAGCCACGGCAGCCATCTCCTCCGGAGTGATGTAGATGAACTTCCCTCTGTCATCAATCACACCTACAGGGGAAAAAAAAAAGGACCTTGAAGTCAGCACTTTGGCTCCTCTCGCTTCCCCACAGACATCAGTCACTTCTTCTGGAAGGGACGTTCAAACTGCTGAGGCTGCAGTTCGTATCTAGGGCAGCAGAACAACGTGCTAGCAGTCAGGCTTTCATCTCCTCTCTGCTGCTGGGTCTTTGAGCAGGGCTACAACAGCAGAGTGCCTTGGTAAGACTAGTTTTGTTCAAAGTAACACAGCCCTTTCACTGTGCACAGCCTGCTGGGAGTACCGCAGCAGCTACTTCAGGTATGTAGTGTTGGTGCCATGTTCTGGACCCAGGCAACCAGGACATCACACACCCTTACGCTTTCATTCAGACCACTTTTAGGTCATTTGGATGGGTATCCACATGTACTCACCAATCTTGGGCAGTAAATGTTTGCATTGGCACCTTTCCCTGCTTCACCCTCAAAGAAAAAGACTGCCCAGCAATAAACCAAGCTTGTTCAGACAGAGAGCTACCCACACGCTCACATCCCAGCTCTGACTGCGTGGGTGCGTGGCTGGGTGCAAGCACTTCACTTACTGCAGCATCCCGGAGTGCTCTGGGATGTTTGCTTCTCCCCCAGTGTGCCATACCTCAGTCCTGGCTTTGAGCCACAGCTCCTTCAGAGCAGGCTTGCAAACCGCCCCAAACATCCAAGTGATTCTTGCAAGTTCAGATTTAAGCAGATGTTAATTTGCACTTGGCTGCTCAGCAACCCCTAAAGGCCTTCAGCAGGGCTCAATCACAGGCAGAAGCCTTGTGCTGGGTCCTAAACTGCTGGGGACGTTCACCCCCCACTTCTGTATAACACATCCCATAGTGCTTTAAACAGCAGTTTCACAGCAGCTGAAGCAGGGCTAATAAACATAAATATCTTTATCAAGTCCCACTAGGATCTCTTGCAGTTTAAAACAGAAATTGCATAGGAAGACTCTCTCTACCACAGTGAGGGTATTTTCCACACCACCTATTCAGCAGGTAAAATAAACCCCTTTCGTGTATTGGCTGTTACCTGTCAGAGTGCCATCTGCCATCAGGTCCTGGATCCTGTTAATTGCGTCCTGTTAAGAGAGGAAAAAGGAATTGAAAACAAATGATCAAGAGGAAGGCAAAAAAGTATTTCACATGTTGAGATAAGCTACAGATGGAGGCTGATGTTTAACTCCTCACTGTTAAAGATTTCAGTGAAGGATGCACACCAGCAACTCCACACAGACGCATGCAGTGAGCTCTGAGAAGGATGAAGTGAGCTTCTGCATTTTGGGGTGTTCAAATAACTTCCCTATCCTCAAAAGAGACTTCAATTGCTAAGTTGGTGTCAGGTTTATGGCAGGGGGTGGTTGCACACATCTTTTCAGGGAAAGGCTGCACAGTGCTGTTACAACACACAATTTCCAAGAAGTACACCGAGCTACTTCTCCAAGGACCTGGCTACACTCAATACATTCCAGAGCTTCTTATATTGTTTTCTTTCCTGCTCCATTAAGAGGAAACCTCTTTTACCAAAGAACAACTTGTTGAATCTATTGCTGGGTTAACTCCATAGCTACTCCGAGCATGC